CCCAACCGTGTTAGGGTTAGTTTCCCTGTAAAGTAGTTGTTAATAATTATAACAGAGTAAATTCAAAATTGAGTGAGAGCATTTATTCTTTTGTCTCAATTTATAGTGGACAACCTTTACAGTGGTATATGTTTATATTAATGATGACACCTTTTTGTCATTGCATTGACATCAACTCGGACCACCACGCCGGAAACAGAGAATCTGGGAATCAAGCAAAGAGAATAGAATATATATTAGAGGGGAATTTACTAGAAAAAAGTGTAAAACGGCCATTTTGTTGTACTGTTTCCATACTGCAGGTGTAAAACATTTACATGATTTGTACACTTTGAACTCCCTTTCAGGCTGAAAGGGACTGAAAAAATTCATACCGAGAGATTCTCTAAATTCCCCTCTAATATATATTCTATGGAATTCATCTTTTTATAACAAGGTTTAGTCAATGATCTAATAAAACAATAAAAAAGATTATTTATTCTTAAAGTAAACTTTTCTTAGTTGCCATGAGACTTCTCGAGGTTGAGGAACAGTTCTTAGGGTCTTAGCACCACTACTGGACCAAATATTACTGACATTCAATCCAGTTATTGATTATAGTGTAATATATAGTAATATGATGTTTTTGTACTTTTGTGATAAAATAAATTTGCAATTATTTGCTGTGAAATTTTCATTTTGCATTTGCTAAATCATGGTGGCTGAAATTGTTTGAGATTTATAGAACGAGTTCATGTAACCAATTTTTTTCATTTACATCTCTTGTTTTAAATTTGTTAAAAAAGATACCCAATATATAACAAACACATTGTCTTTCAATATTTACGATACATTTTGCATGTTATAACCGCAGTATCGTTTTTTTTTGTCCATGTTCACATTAACTACTCCTCTCTATGGCAACATTCTCTTTTGAGACTTTTTTGAAATCAAATAACATTTTGGGACACCCTGTAACATGTTCGAAAAATTAAGATAAAAAATTTACAAACTCAACCAAGCCAAAATGGCAAACTTTCATAACTTTCATAAATTTTAGTTCTACAAGTCTCTTTTTGTTTCAACGGATAGGAACTATTATAAAGATTATGAGTAATTTTTAAACTAAAATGCAACCTTATGATGTACATTGAAGAGATTTTTTTTAAGTTACAGCTTTGTGATGCTATTTCGTTTGCACTAACGTCCGATTGAACTAACGTACTTTTGCACTAAAGTCAGCTGATCAGTAACACTTGAGGCCGCAGCGCCCGGCCCCCTAGCCTTTCCTAGCCGCAGCGCTCGGCCCAGAAATTGTCTTAACCTAACCTAACCCTCAAATAAAACGTTAGTCCGAATGAACGTTGGTGCGAATGTACGTTAGTCCGATCAATCATTAGTGCAAACAATACGACACCAGCTTGGTCCTAAATTTTTCTTGGTATAAGACGACATTCTATAAACTATCCATCAAAAATATGGAAACACTATTTATGCAAACCTTGAACTGAATATGGAAATTTCCATTCCATTTTTTTTGGGAATATTTCTTTACAAATCGATTTTTTGATAAATTAAATTAAATTCATCTTTATTTATAGAACTATAATTTAAAACACATTTGCACGATCTTTATCAGTAATGGCGCAAAACTTTGAAAAAGTTGTCACACATATTTCTAGATAATAATAGAAAAAAACACAGTTTTGAGGATAACCGTATGTACCTGGTTAGCTTAGTACATGTTAAAATATAAATGTGTGGCGGCGTAGTGGCGTAGCGGCGGAAGACGACGAGACTTCTGGAGTTTTGAATCTAAAGATCTAGACGCGGCAGGACGAAGACTTCCGGCCACGTCACCTATCTATCTATGGATTATATTTACGTTTTTGATAAATTTAGATTTTAAATTTAGTAATAAAGTAGTTATTTAAACTCGGCGTTTATAAACTTGAGCGTAGCTAAAAATGCAACATATATGTATTTACACATACAGGGTGTCCCACGAAATATGACAACTGCTGAACAGTGTTGAGTGTCTTCTTTGCATGAACCAAGTTCAATAATGCGTAGATGAAGCAGGATTCAAGTTAAACCAGGAAGAATATCTTAACTGAACCTATAGAAGGGGTTGGAGAATATACTTCAGTCCCGCATACCATCTAGCGGGGTTCACATACACTTTATATTCGGCAATGTTTTTATCAATTGGAATAAAATATACAATAATAGTATCTTTAGTTGTGCTAGTTGTGATAGTTATGCAGTTAGGTACCTTCCCACCCACCAGACTTTTGTCTGTTATATGGAGGTACACCGAGTATGGCAATGCCAAATAGAGCAACTAAAATACTTTTTTTTCAAATAAATTTTCATATATTTTCATATATATACTGTATTAGAAATAAAAGACTTTTTGCAGTTTATTTCTTTTAAAAAAATGTTTAGCTTATATATATTTTACTGCGGAATCAAATTTATTATACAGTAACTGTCATATAAAAAATGTTATTAGTCTCTTTAGTAACAAACAACTTATCAAATTATGGAAGAAGACATTTTAAACTATTTACCAACTGTCTTGTTTTGTGGGATACCCTGTATATAATTTTACGTGAACCACATAGGATGAGGCAGGAGGTTGGAGACAATGATGACGACATAAAACTCTTTAAAGGGACTGTAAAGGAAAAACAAAAGGAGTTATAGGCTGAAACCTGAGAATCTCAGGCGCTAAACGATACCTTTTATCTGATGTCACGAGAATTTGATATTACGGCGTAATTTCAAGTAATTTCTACAATATAATTTCGCGAAAATTTCGTAATGATTACATGTAATAAGCGAAACTATAATTACGTGTAATTACAGTGTAATTCCACGTATAATTTCTATAAGGTAATTTTGCAAAATTTTGTATTAATTATGCGTAATTAGCGAAACTTCAATTTCGCAAAATTAAGCCGTAACTTCGAATAATTTCTACAAAGTAATTTTGCAAAATTTTGCAATAAGTACATCTACGAAATTTTGAAGTTTTAACTTTTAATTTAAATAAAACAACTAACTTACAAGGAAAACAATGTCACGCTTAAGTTGAATCAGAAATTTCAGCCAATACTATGTTGATGCACTAAAAAGTTTAACAAAGGGCCAACAATTTATTTTTATCAAAAAAAATACATAATCTATTAAATTTGTTAATATTTCATCCTACGTTCTCAAGTTTACCTTCCTTGTTTGAAAAAAAATGTCAATAAAATCGTCAAAATGTTTGACATGGTTGTAGCGGGAATATCCTTACACATACTTTCCCGCTATAATTATTTTTGAGAATTAATATTTACTTTATTTATTATGGAATTGTTTTGTATTACGTAATTTTGCGTAATTACGCATTAATTATGCGAAATTAGACTTTCTTTCGTAATAAACACGTAATTATGCGTAATGCTCCGGCGTAAGTAAAAGAAAGTGTTACGCGTAACATAATTACGACTGGAAACCCTAATTACACTAAATGTTTTAATCATAAAAACAACTAAATTGACTCTCCTTTACTTAAAATGTTAAAATGATGCATTTTTTTGACCAAAAATATGTACAAAAAAACATCAATTTATTATTCAAGTTATTCAATACAATATCAAGTTATTAGTTACCTATAAGAGAAGATTAATGGAAAATATAAGTAATTTTGAACATTCAAGAATGAATATTTACGACATAAAAGAATAAATATTTACAACCTATAAGAATAAATATTTGCAGCCTATAAGAATAAATATTTACAACCTATAAGAATAAATATTTACAACATAAAAGAATAAATATTTACAACCTATAAGAATAAGTGTATGACATGAAAGAATAGATATTTAAACCATATAAGAATAAATATTTACATCATATAAGAATAAATATTTACACCATAAAAGCATAAATATTTACAACATAAAAGAATGAATATTTACAACATGAAAGAATAAATATTTGCAACATAAAAGAATGAATATTTACAACATAAAAGAATAAATATTTACTTAATATAAGAATAAATATTTACAACATGAAAGCATAAATATATACAACATAAAATAATAAATATTTACAACATGAAAGCATAAATATTTACAACATGAAAGCATAAATATATACAACATGAAATAGTAAATATTTACAACATATTTTTAACATAATTCTTCTTGTTGATTTTTTCCATTTTAAGGCCTCTCAAAGTGGTTCGTTGAGGTATCCAGGTATGAAATAGGAAAATACAGAGATAAGGGATATTTAGGAGGAAGGGTATAAGGGACTTCTGTAGAAAATCTCTTGCACTGCTTATGCTTAGTAGGGAGTTGAAGCTTTAATTATCAGGGGTATTCCAGTTTTCACAGAGTATGAAACCGGTATCATTGTGCACAGCTCACAACCTACCAGGGATTCTTCTTTTTGTTTTTCCATTTTTTCTTGTTTCTAGCAGTGAGAGGGGAAAAGGAAAGCATAGAGAGGCCCCAAAATCTGCACTGTTTAAATCCTTTGTTCCCTAATGAGGTTAGTTATGATATTTCCACAACAAATACAGGATCTTCTTGCTTAAAATTTCATGAAAATAAAAAATGGTTTGGTAAATAAAAGAACTTATATGTTTTGATTTTGTATTTACTTGTTTTGATGTTTTTTAATGCTGTTTTCAAGTTTTGTTCAGCTATTTTTACATGAAAAAATCATTAAGTAATGGCTGGCACAATTAAGGACCTACCTTTGTGAACCAAATAACAAACTGAAATAAAAAACGACTGTTTTGTTTCTTAATTTAAACAAGGCTACTTTTCAAAAAAGATCATTTGGAAAAAAAGTTTGCTTTTTGTTTTTTCTACATCAGTTTGTTTTTTCACAAAAGTGAAAACTATCTCCCTTCTCTGTGAGTGTCAAGAGTACTTCTTATCCTGAGATGTTGACTCAAAAGTAGAACTTGAACGTTTCCCACTTTTTTTGAATCTGCAGTGCAGTATAGTCTCTTACATATTTCTTCATAGCAAAGTAGAAGTTCATAACTGTAAACAGCAGGGCCCCAAGAAAGGGTCCATAAGGCAAACCAACCTGACCAGATCCTCCCAAAGCTTTTTGAACAAACAGAAATGATAAAATTGTTCCAAAAAGTGTAAAAACACTTCCAATGAGGGTCTTGAATCCAACAATATTCTTGGCTGTTGTGCTCTCTACAATGTGGACAACCTTGTTTTTCAAGTAGATTTTGTTGAAGCAATATACAGAAAGCATCATGAGTCCAGCAATGAGTGTCACTGCAGTGAATACCATGGAGTGTATGTTTGGTCCATCCGTTGCCTTGAGCCCACTGTAGTAGGAAACTTGAAGGGAGACAAATCCTAGAGAAAAATACTTCATTAACTATATAGGGAAGTGGTGGAAAATTTCATGAAGATTAATAAGTTTCCCAAGTATGTTTTATAACTCTATGTCTTATAAAAATTTTTATTGACAGAATTGCATAATATCATATTTGGGTTCCACATTTATCACTATCCTTTTCATATTTTTCTTTAATGAACTAACCAAGTTTGAGATATGTTACTAGATGAAAATCAATCATGAAAGCTTCTAAAAAGTAATTTTACCTCGCATTGTTTGAATATAAGTTGGGAGGGTAAAGGGAACCAGGCTTATGACCATTAATGCCAGGAGTATTGCTTGCCCGGTTGATTCAGGATCATATTCCATCATGGCCTCAAACTAATGATGTATAAGAGACAAAGTTTAAATCTTTGATTTCTCAACACAATGTGATGTATGTATAGTCAAGACAATTTACCTTGATAACCATAAAAAGTCGAATGGTTGCAAGCGCAATGTTGAGAAAAGCCACCAATATCCCAAGGTAGGAAGGAATCAAGCTGATAATAAACCCAAGAAGCCAAGAGATGTAGGAGAACATTGAGGTCCACATACTTACCAGGCACTAGAAAGAAGTCATTTCTAATTTTAAGGACAAGATATATCAATGCATGTAACTCTTGACATTATTTGGAGAATTTTATAACACAAGAGATATTATGTTGTGCACACAAGCTATAAATAAGACTAGCTGAAGTGCAGGGCATCATTGCCCGTGGAAAAAAATTAGAAAATTTGTAAGAAAAAATCTTACAAGTGTGCAATTTCTCAAGTTGCAACTACCCAAGTCTGTCCTAACCACAGCGCTGGGGACCCTAGCTTTTTCTAGCTGTAGCAATAGGCTGCCTAGCCCATTCTAGCAGCAGACCTCAGCCTATATTGCAACCTGCAAGCTGTGGCTGTTCTCAGACAGCCTAACCTAACAATTGGGAAGTTGATTCTTGTGAAACTGTACATTTGGGAAGTTGCCACTTGGGAACTGGTCCTTGTGAAAATGTCTTTGGGAAAGTACCTAACACTATAAACAATAGTTTTTACAGCTCAAGCCTAATTGTGAAAATTTTTTAATTTGACTTGATTTTTTTTCTGCAAATCTTGTTAAAAGAGGAGTTTCTATAAAAATGTCAAAAAAATATGTAAGCTTCAATGCCTCCTTATAAAGTGAAAAAAGCAAAATATCCATAATAAAATAGGTTATAATAAATACTTAAATATTTACAATGAAATTCCAAATTCAAATATTAAATAAATATTGAAAATTAGACAAGTTATGCTCGCAAACACCCTTATTTTAGGTTAATTAAAAGTTATTCTTTTTTCACTTAGATTTTAGATTTGATTTTTAAAATTTGTAATTTTGTAACAAAAATTATACTCATCAGGGCTAATTGCCCTTCTTTTTCCTATTTGTTGAGTCTACCATCTTTCAGTTTTATTTTGATACTCACATATGTAGATGCCATTAGGTTGTAGGTTTCTATGATGTATGTATTGATCACAGTGATCAGATTGATGTTCCTGAAGCTGATTGAGTTGCGGTAGATACGAACCATGTGTGTGAAGCAGTTGCAACATATGAGGAGGAAGAAGAAGATGAAGAATACAATGCTTCGTCTGGTGAATGGTTTGAGAACAAGGCTTTCATTATCTTCATAATAATCAAGATTCACAAATACAGCCAACTAAAAAACACTAGTGCAAAAATCAATTTATAATCAAAATAACTCATAATAACTAAAGTTAAAGATAATGTGCAGATGCAGTTAATTTTTTCTATTTTGTTTGATCTTTGTAGGGCATGGCACATTCAAACTTTTTTTTGAGCCATTCATTACAGTTAGTTAATATTGTAAAGAAACTTTTCAGGTAGTAGCATCGAGATATTAGTAATAGAGGGGGCATCTGGAATTTTAGACTTCTTGTTGTACAGCCACTGTACACAATGACCTGATCAGAAATTCTACCTGGGGGGATCATAACTCGTAGATCAGTGTTTTAAGACATTATATTGTTTGAAAGTGAAGCCTACAATATTCAAGCAAAGAAAACAAGGCCATATGATTTTTGTTTAAAAATGAGACATGACAAATAGAGAAAAAAATAAAACCTTCTCCTTAATAACATCTTGTTTCTTATCAAATTCTTAATACTTCTGAAATCTACATTGTGTATAGGTAGTAGTCATTTATCATTGAATTTAGAACAGAAAGAATTTTTCAAGGTATTTTCCATATTTTTTAAAAGTTACAATTTTTTGAAAAGTGTTAACAAAAGAAATTTCAGAAATTGTTAGCAGTGCTAGATGTCTTAAAGTAGCTGGAAAAATTTGAAGATGAAATATATAAAAACATCAGAATACTTATAGGATTAACTTTTTATTATAAATTCATCCATTTATTATTTTTAATTAACCATTTTTATTTTTAAAAACGACAATTTCTATTTGTTAATTATTACAAAATTAATGTTTTTTGCTATTCGTTATTGGACTTTTTCCTGAACTTTTAAAACATGCTGTTCGTCAACAGGACATTGCCCAAACCCAGATCCAGGGCATTTCTTTATTTCAAAAAAATGTGTCAAAAAAAAAAAAAAATAAAGATCTTGAATGTATCCCTGTCATATTACTGTTGTAAAGTATTTCAATGCCAGTTTCATTTGCTTGTTCAGCCAAATAGATGAGGTCGGAGATGGTGTCATGCTCCATCTCAACCTTAATTCCAGGAATGAAGTTGGGTTGCTTGGTAAAGGCAGAAAGGTCCATCCCTATTCCAGGAAAGGAGTTGGGTTGCTTGGTAAAGGTATCATGGTCCATCTCTATTCCAGCGAAGGAGTTGGGTTGCTTGGTAAAGGTATCATGGTCCATCTCTATTCCAGCGAAGGAGTTGGGTTGCTTGGTAAAGGTATCATGGTCCATCACTTTTCCAGGAATAGAGTTGACTTGCTTGGTAATAAAGGGTTCATGCTCCAACTAGATTCTGGAAAAATTGTAAAGGATTCTGAAAAAAATATTAAATGACTGCAGACAAAATTATCATTTTGCCTTTTAGTGTATAAAATGTAAATGTTTCTCATAAAAGTAAATTTTTTTGTTAATTGATTTGATAAGCATTGCTCATTTGACTGTGTTCACAACTGAACTGATGTTACTGATTAAGTCTCTCTCTATTCGATCTTCCTCCTTTCTCTCTCTCTGTAGGCCGTCTCCACCGATTACTCACTCTTTGTTTTTATGACAATCATAAGTTCATAATTTCAGTAAAGACAAATTTGACCCTAATTTAGTAAAATTAGGGTTATTTACCAATCTATCATCAATTACACAAATATCAAAGTGATTACACTAAAAACTGCAGAAAAATGATTTCTTTTGTAAGATATAAAGCTTGCAAACAAAGAACAAAGATTAGAATAGAAGGGAAATTAGACAAATCCTCAGTATGAATTTTGTCACTCCCTTTGAGCCTGAAAAGTAGTTTAAAGTGTACAATTCATGTAAATGTTTAAAAATTAACACAGTACATCACACTATTGCAGTATGATCCCTGGACATATCAGTTACAATTTCTTTGTTTTTTTAAGTTGTTAAACAACGTTTAAGCTGTGTATTGTGGGGTTGTATAACTTTGAACCCCCATTGTTATTTATAAAATTTCAGCTTTAGTAAAAATTTTTCAGATTCATGCATAGTACAATGTTATTCTGGTAATAAGGGTTTCCAATTTCCAATTAATATTTTAGTCAATATTTCGATGATTTTCTGCACTAAAATCCTGAAACTGCCCTTGCTAAGGCTTAGACCTACACATAATGTTTACATTAACATTAACATTAACATTGACTTTAAACATTTTACAAACATTTGAGGTGGTTAGGGGTACAAAGTACACTCAGACAATATACACACAAATGGACTGGTATCCAGACTGGTGTGTCAACATAAGGCTTCAATCCCGTGAACTATCAATGACACTACCACGGGGCGCGATCTTGTTAGCTATCAAGTCAACATAGACACAAGCAATTAATTGATCAATGCGTCAACCAGGGCATGATCCACATGGCTACAATCCCGTGAACTATGCCTCAATCAGGACACGATCCACATGGCTACCTTCAGGTGATCTATAAAGGCCACTACCACAGGGCGTGATCTTGTAAGCTATTGATGTCAACATGGACACAAGCAATTAATTGATCAATGCGTCAACCAGGACATGATCCAAATGGCTCCAATCCCATGAACCATGCCTCAATCAGGACACAATCCACATGGCTACCTTCTGGTGATCTATAAAGGTCACTACCACAGGGCGCGATCTTGTAAGAAATTGATGTCAACAAGGGATTAAATTGATGTCAATCAAGGGATTAAATGTTACAATATTTAGCTACATATTCAATTGGGTTAATCGCAATACATGATTTAAGTATTTACTAATGGGCACATTTAGCTATGTTGACAATGTAAAATGGAATTTACTATGGGCTATCTATCCCTTATTTTATACACTTCAGCCACTCTTCAATTTTTCTTGTTTCGTTTCCATTCTTCTTTCTCTGCTGCAAACAGAGAATGCATGAAGTTCTTTCCTGTACAGGCCAGGTCCATTGGTGCCTGGATAATACGAGTTTGTTTTCCTTCCTCTTTCATACAGTTGCATTGTACTAATAGGCAATTTACACTATATTCGCATTGTTTAGGATGATCCAAGTCATCTAGTATCATTTTCTAGTTCCTCATAGGATACAAAAAGGATATCTCGTTGACTCCTGTTGATCCCTTCTCTGTGTCTCCACCTTGATTTTCCTTGTTGCTGATTTCTCTGTCATTTCTGAGTTCTGGTAACATCCAATGTATCCATGTTGATGTCTGGTTCTAGAATGATATCAGAACCTGTGTTACTGATTGACAGCTAGATTCCAACTCTGTCTTGGGTTTCCATGAACTTATTCCACATAACCATATCAACTTCATCTTCTTGGAGACAAATAGGGGGGCAAGAGGGTGCTTCTATACCTACAGATGTATTGTTCTCCGTAATTCCATTGTCACGTTCTGCTCGGTTTTCAGGAACAAGATTAACTGCTTCATTACTTCGTCATTAGACATATTATCTTCCATATATGACAATGTTCCAGTTCCTGTGCTAATTACATCTGTTGGATCACCCTGCATAACTGTTGGAGTTGGTATGAGATTTGTAACTTCTCTCAACTGTTTCCAATATTGCAGAATGTGATGGATCACTAGGAAATCTATAAGCATCATTATCTCCTCGGAATTCTTTTATTACAACTAAGCTGACCAGCCTGGGTTTTCGTCGCAAGTACATTGGAGATATTTTCCTGATAATCTTGTATGGTCCAGGCCAATATGATCTTAACTTTTCACAACTTCCAGGTATAATCTTCAGATCAGAAATCCAGACCCACTCTCCAATTTCAAACCTTGACACGATCGTTGCATAGTATTGAGTGGACAGTATACTCTATAGTTGTCTTTGTTTACTGATTAGTGTTGAATCAATATGTAGATGCTATGTTAAATGAATGAATGAACTTTAAAGTGCTTACTCCAAAACTTGGGATGTCACCATGTAGACTAGAAAAGAACTCTGTAGTAAAAAACCAAGATTGAGTGGAATAATGAAGCATTGTTCCACACAAACTATATTTACATCATAACAATACAAATGATTAGTGTTGGACCAACTAAAGTTGATCTAAATACACATGATATTCGCCTGGGTCAAAAATATTTCCATTCAACTCTTCTGCTCAGATACTTATTTGAGCTAACTGCCAAATCTTGGGGCATCCCAGGGATAAGATGGCCGACAATACTGCTTTCTTTCCCGAATAGATAAATGCTGTTTCACTCCTTTCTCCAGCATTGATCTTACCCTAGCTCCGCCCTTTAAACCGCCCTTTAAATGGGACAGACTTGGTATCTCCAGATGAGAAAAGGGATTCAATACCCTTGCCAGCCTAGCATCTTATGTACTAACATATTTTGGGTTTGATACCCTCTTAGACTTGGCCTGGATTGTTTGGCTTTATTATTTGCCTGCATTTCTTAGGCATTATTTCTCCGACTGGGAGCAAGGAGTTGTACTATGGAGACCCTTGGTTGGGTTCAAATTATATTTGAAAACTGTGCAGGACATGTCAAATAATTTCATTGATATATCAATATGTATTTTAATTGAAACAATTATCATCGAGAACACTAAGAAATGGAAATTCTGAAGTGTATTCTACCATTCTTGCCTTTAAATCGCCGGATTGTCAAAGATGAAAAATGTGCTTAGATCAAAATGTTGATATTTATTATTTTAACCAATATAACTGAAAAGTCCGCGAAAATTTGAAAACGATTGAAAATTTTGAATTAAATAGCTACAGTAAAAAGATAAATTTGTAAACATGTTATGTATTCTTTATAGTTTATTTAATATTTTATAGACATTTGTAAGTCGTCTGTAAGTTATTTTTTAATTAAAAGCAATAATCTAATTATTTAAAAATAAAAATGGTAGAATTACATGGTTTACAAAATATAATGTGAAAACCCAGCATTGCCCAGGGTACTTATAGTTGCTCCTACCGTTTACCCGGCAACGCTGGATCGTAAATTATGATTTTAGCTATTGTTGGACCCACTCAACAAACAATATCAAAACCATGAGCTGAGAACGTTCCTGTAAGTTCCCAAGTTTTTCAATAAAAGTTTGAGGCAAATCGGTCATTTACATAGATACTTTGCAGGGAAACTCACAAGCTCTGATTTCCTAATTCCAATATATTTGCAACCCAATGTCGTAGACCTTAGATGTTTTTAATCATGAATTCTGTTAGATCAAATATCACAGGCACACATATCAGTATACGTAGAGACCAATTTCCCTTCATCAATCCATTTTCTAATTGGATATATGGAAAGTATATTACCAACTGATTTTTGCAAACTTAGTAAAATTAATTCAATTAAAGGGAATGTTGCGTCTATATGGAGAAATTTCTTAAAAATGACTCATGCTCCTCATGCTAAAGAACGTAGCGTCCATGCAAACTCAGAAGCAGTGGCGTAAATAAGGGGGGTTGTTGGGGTTATTTACCCTCCTCTAGATTCCTGGGGGATTCCCCCCTCCCCCTAGAATCCTGGGGGTAAATACCCCCCCCTAGAATCCTGGGGCCCCTAGAATTTGTTTTTAAAAAAAGGTTAATTTTAAAATTGAATATCTTTAAAATTTGCACGAAAATAATTCAAATGTGCAGATACTTCAAACTTTGAATTATTTTGATAAAATATTCTAAATTTGAAATATCAAAGGTTTACACCACTCGGTGCAAAGATTTAGGGATTAGAATATTTGAGTTTGTGGCAAAATCTCAGTTCCAAATCTAGAGAACATTCTCGCAAATCATATTTGATAACCTGTTTATCTTCTTTAAACGATTTTCTATAAAATCGAAAATGAAATAAGATTATGAATGTTGGTTAGAATGACTAATCATATATTCTATAACTTCAGGAGAAAACGTAACATTATCTGTCCTTTTTCAATGTAGATGATTAAAATTATATAAGTATTTTGATGTATTTTTTTCAAAATATATAAATGATTATTTCTTTTAATTATATCTGTAATTAAACAAGGTACTTAACCCTATTCCTGCTGGGGGGGGGTCAATTTGACCCCCCCCTGTAGTTTTTTTTACATAACTCAAAAAGTATTGGTCTGAGGCTGTTGAAATTTTCTGACTTTTCCTACATACCCAAAGCCCTCCCTTTAGGCCTAAAACCGGGCTTTAATACTAACTGCCTGAGTCCTCAGGCACACTTTCTGAATGACTTGTTTTTCCTGTAACAAACTAAATCTTTATTTTGACCCTCTTCCACTTGTTAGATTTTAATAAAATTTAGCTTTTTGGAAAGCCTTTGACATAAGGAAACGAATTGCACAAGTTTTGCGAGAAAAAAATTGCAAATTTTTTGCAAACAATCTGTCAAAGGAAATTTGCAAATTTTTAGTTTTTCTTGATTAAATATCAGGTTATTTAAAATTTAGCAAAATTTTTTGCATATTTGAAATGGCATGGTCAAGGTCTTTTCAAAAATGTATAATTTTTCATTTTTTGGACAAATTTTGGTTTGCAAACATTTTTACTATATAACTGGATTTTGCGATAAAAAATTCAATTTTTGCAAATTTGCAAATTTTTTGCAGATTCTAAAAGTAGAGCACAAGAGCTTTCCAATGATGTATCATTTGTCATATTTGGACATCAAACATGGGATTTAGAGGGGGGGTCAAATTGACCCCCCCCCCAGCATATCCTGGTTTTCAAGTACCCCAGCAGAGATAGGGTTAACAAATTTTCTTTGGCGGAGCGCCACTGCACACATGAAAAGAATTGACTGACTCATATCGTTAATTTTACAGTTGTTGAAAGTATAAATGTTTTTAAAAACACAAGAAAAGAAAAAGATTTGAATTGAACACAGCCAAATCTGAATGCAACAACTAAAAATTTCCTTTTTTCGTCGTCAACCCCTTAAAAAAGAACTTTTATTTGTAAAATGAATCAATATATTGAAGGGTATAAAACATGGTGTAAGCTGAAAGGTAATAAATGAAGCCTTTATTTGGTGGAGTTTGTAAATGCCAGAAATGAGTGGAAAATGCAAATCAAACACAAATAAAACCAATAATTTGATATACATCATGAAATTTTACCCCCCCCCCTACAGAATCCTTATTTACGCCCCTGTCAGAAAGTTGCAATATTCAACTCGGATCGTAAAATAATCAACTATTTCCAAACAAATCATTCAGGTATGACAAACAATAGTCATCGTTTATTTTTGACGCATTCGTAAATAGTTCATATTTTATAATATGTTTTGATTTTGTTTTTTTAAATGATATTTCGCTGCCGCTGGATTTTCAAACATTCCTGGAAAGTATGAAAAAGTCTTCTCCAGTATTAAAAATCCTCAAAACAGGAATAAATGATTTTAAAAGTAACTTTCAGAAAATAAGAAATAAAAAAATGCTATGAAATATCAGCTTTATACGAATGTGTCGAAAAATTATCGATGATTATTGATTGTAATATCTGAATGATTTGTTCGGAATTAAATTGACTTTTTACGATCCGAGTTGAATGTTGCAACTTTCTGAATTTGTATGGATGCATACGTTCTTCGGTGCAAGTCGTTTTTAACAATTTTCTCCTTATAGGCGCAACAGATAGAAGGAAGATCAGTAGCGATCAAAGCGCTTATTTTGGCTGTAAGCCTACCCAGTACCCTCTTTCATTTTTCGCGAACTCTCACTTTAATTCATTATTTTAGTATAGACACATTCATATTCAAAAGAAGTTTTGGTCCTTTTGGTCATTTTCATTGAAATATTTATGTTTTACAAAAAAGAATTTTTTTTAATTCCAAATAAATAAAAAATGTTAATAGTTTTGATATATATATTTTCACAAAAGTTTCAGTATTTCTCTAAAGTTTACAATTTTTTAAAAAGGCAACAACTTTAACATTTTCCCACAAATTTGATTAGTTATAACATTAACATAAATTGGTAAAATTATGCACGCGTCACAGATATTTTTAAAATGGTGTCTTAAACTTTTCTATACGTGGTATATCTTTGAAATTGTTATTAGAAATTTAAAGAAATTAAATTTGTTTTAAATTCTAAAAATTTATTTTATAAATTCTAAATATATATTTCATAAATTGAAATCTTATGCAGAGTTTTCAATATCTCCGACTGACAGACCACAATTTTAAAATCGATATTAACTATCTAGTTTTATAGTTGAGATTAACTGGTATAATAAGATTGCATAACTTATTTTGTTTGCGAGAAATCCAAGGTGTTAATCCCAAACTAATTAATATATGTCCATTAATTCCTCTGTTTTGGGACAACCTAGATAAAACTAAAATTCAATTGTACTTTAACTTAGGCAGAATGAGGTGCAGTGGAACTTAAGCCAATATGTAATGTTGAAAAATAGAAATAACAAATATATAAATCTTTTTGTCTGTTGATGACAATGTTTTTATTTTCATTCTGGTTTGGAAAAAAAATTATTATAATTTCTTTGCAGGAGTAAAATATAAAAAATTGAGGATTTTCAATTTCGAAATTCCAATTATTATTCTCTGAGAATTCGACGTGATCTACGACTATCCGTTGTCGACGTGTTTAGCGACGAATTTCCGGAATCCTCGCTCGGAACAGACTTCTTTAAGTCCAACTCTTTCCGGTTCGAAATTTTCGACGGTTTTGAGGATCTGTCCTCGCTTTTAGCGCGACGGCCTCGAATTGACGTGTTCAATTTTCGACTGAGCAGCCAGTCTTCTAAATCTGTCGCCTCAACATAACTGCGACGGGACCAAAATTCTTCAGTCGATCTCATTCTAGTAAATTATTTATATGTTTTTTCATTTTTTTATTTCTCAAAAAATTTAAATGTAATGAATTTCTAGTAAAACAGCTTAAAATAGATAAACTTCTTTAGCAATTACAGTAACGTAAAAGCATCAAAAATAGAAATATTAATTTTGGAGAATTTTTAAAAAAAAATTCTTAAATTTTTATTTATAGAAATAAAATGAATATAAAGGATTCCTGGATTGTGCTTGGTATTCAGCCCACGTCACCAAGATTCTGTGCCACTCCCTGAATATCAAACATTGAAATTTTTTTTTATCAAATAAGAGAAAAAATATAATTTTTCCGTTGATCTTGGACATAGTCAATGAACCATACATTGTTGGTAAATACATGGGAATTGATCCTAGAAATTTAAAAGATATAAATTTTATTTATTTTTATAATTTTTAAACTTTAAAGGTTTATATTTTATATATTTTTAACAGAATCCTCGATGATACCTACAAATAAGATTGGCTTAAAGTTGTGTGAAATATTTCTACTCAGGTAAAATATATTTATAGTTAGCAAATCTAATAAAAGTATAAAATTATAAAATTATGTAAAGCATCCGGTCCAACATTTTCGTGAAATCTTTAAAAAAGACAGGGCGACCCAAAAAAGAGGGATTATTTTCAAAAGTTTATTGGGGCTTTAAAACGCTAATTCCTTTTATTTGTGTCACCCTGTAATTTTCAAAAAGTGATTTTTAAGATAATAAACGATACAAAAATATGATTTCATTGTTGCCTAATATCCTCGGTTCGACGAAGAAGTAATTTAGCCTCTTTTTGTAGATGTATAGATATCACTAGATACCCCTTCCTCTCCTCTAAATATATTCCATCCATTTCCATCCAACCAACCTTAATAAATATATTTTATATATTTCCATCCAACCAAGCTTAATAAATATATTATATATATTTCCATCCAACCAACCTTAATAAATATATTTTATATGTTTCCATCCAACCAACCTTAATAAATATATTTTAAATATTTTCAACCAAGAAACCTTAATAAATATATTTTATAAATTTCCATCCAACCAACCTTAAGAAATGTATTTTATATATTTCCATCCAACCAACGTAAATGGATCTATTTTATATATTTGGGGTTTTGTTTGTATCCATAAAAAGTCGAAACGACTTATCCCATCAAGGTCATATTGTTTGTGGGATTACTCTTATGAGTGACCCATGGAAAGATGTTCGGGCTGTGGAAATTAAAAACAAATGTTTCCTACATTTTTTGAAACGAAAATAATATTAAAAACTAGAGGTGAAAACAGAAAAATTGAAAAAAATGACGTCAAATATATTAGATATCTTAAATATATTAGATATCTTAAATATATTAGATATCTTAAATATATTAGATATCTTAAATATATTAGATATCTTAAATATATTAGACATCTTAAATATATTAGATATCTTAAATATATTAGATATCTTAAATATATTAGATATCTTAAATATATTAGATATCTANACTGCCGACCAAATGGGGGGTTATGCTTATGTATGAACAAATTATACCGTCTAGGTTTCTTACGTGTTTGATATGCATGAGGGCATGAAGGAATGAAGGAATGAAAGCATGAAGGAACAGATTAAATAAGAAGTTGGAGCGTATCAAGATTTCCAGACGGATTTACATATCATTTATCCAGGTGCATATTAGAGTACAGGGAGTACCATTCAATCAGTTCAACTTGACATATAAAGGATCTTGTGTAGGAGAAATAATTGATAATGTGTCGGAGTAACAGTGGGTCAAGGTTTAATGCAAGGAAAGTTAATTGCAGTTGCGTATATTGAAACCAGTTCTCTCTGGGCGGAATTTGTAAGCAAGAGTAGTATCCGAGGAGGTTAAAAGCATTACATTTTGATAATCCAAATAATAATTTCCTATGACCAGAATATTTCATATTTTTTATGTGTAAGATGGATCCCATGTTAGGCTTCGACATCCGTTTTGTGCTTATATATTACAGCCCAGAGAGAGTATACTGCAGTACAAAAGATGCGCACACCTCTGAAATAACTTTCCTTGCATTATAACCTTGCAGTGGGTTAAACCGGCCGACATGCTAGTAGGGCTGGGCATTAACGAAACGGAGGTTTTCGAAAATAAACAGAACGAATGGGAAAAACTGTTAATGAAACGGATTAGCCGTTTTTGAAGAAAGAATTAACGGTCAAACCCCAAATCGAAACGCGGATGGGGTTTTAAAAACGGCAACTTTCGTTCTTTTTTTTCTGCTAAGATTGCATGAAACCTTTTTTGTGTGTTTCGCACAATTTCTGAACGGCGTATGCCGTTAATTGCAAAAAACAACCGTTAATGGCGGAATATCTTCCGTCAACGCCGTTAATAAAATTGAGATTGTTAACTAACGGCACCTTTAACTTAAAAATTTCGTTAACCGTCCCTTTAAAGAAGTGGGAGAGGGAGATTTATCTTTTTACCTTTATCAGAACTTCTCCAGAATGTGTTTCTAGTTTTTTAGATGTATCATTGGTTTCCCTTGGATCTTTTACTGGAGACGGCTTAATCTTTTTCTTGTAGATATAAATAGAATCCTGGCTCACCAAACAGAATCTTTCCTTCCATCTGCATATTTATTACAATTTTAATTATCCAAGTCAACTTTAAATAAAATTCATCCATGTTTTCAATAATAGGTCTTCTTTTTCAAGAGAGCTGTTGAGAAGAATAAAAGATTTATAATGTTCAATCAAAGGGATGGCTAAGGTATTCGTAATTTCTGTCGCTGAAAATTGATTATTTTTCCATCGTGGTTTTCTACGGACCGAATTAGACACGCTTCTCCCAAAATTAAATGCACGTCCTTGTTATCAGATTAATTCGAACCAAACATTACTGAAATGTCGCATTTTTTACAATAATGTATAAAGATCATGAAAAAATCTTGAAGGTTTCAAATTTTGAATCTTAAAATTTTAATTTCCTGGAAAAGACTCTGTCTCGCTGAACCCAAACCACGCCACTCTTCAGTTCGTCCATTGTGTTCAAATCTGGTCTATTCAACCTTTCCTTGGCAATGTCAGGGGGCAACCTGTCAACTCCTAATATCTTCTCCATTCCTGACATCTTATCTTCCTGATCAATCATATTCTTATCCTGGCTTCGACTTCGCATTCTTTTCTGCACATTTTTGGCCTGTCGTCTGAGCTGAATATTATCCTTTTTAAGGACGTCATCCGATGTTTTAATGTCCCAGGGCCCTGAAAGTGGTTGTATCTGTATCTGATCTGTGTCCCTATTGAATTGTCATAAACATGATGAAAATTGAAAAGTCAATCTCTGCCAATTTCTAGATTTTTAATCTAAAAATTCCATTTATTTATTTGGATTAGGTTTAGGGGCTGGAGAAGTAGAGGATAAGGGAAGGGGTGAAAAATGATAGGTAGGAAGGAATGTAAAAAGAGGGGGAGGGGGTGTAGGGTGAATAAAATAGTTTAGGTTTCGGGAGAATACCGGTGGCTGGTTAAGGATGAGGGGGGGATATGGTTTAGAAAGACGGTATTGTTGTATGTAGGGGAGTTAAAGTTTAACATAAGGGGGGAAGGGGCGTATTGGTATGAGGTATAGGAAGGTTTCGGATGAAGGGTAGGGTTAGGCACTAGGCAGGTTTAGGATGAGGTGGGGTTTAGGAAGGTTTAGGATGAGGTGGGGTTATGTAGGATGAATAATAAAGTTAATAGATTACAGGAAGCGATATATATTTCCTTTAAATTGAGTTTGTGGTTCAGCACTTCACGTGATTGATACCTTGGGGCTTTTCAATTTCAGTATCATCCCTTCATTTACCTATAATGTTTAATCCCCCCCTCCCCCCACACTTCACCAACACACCCTCAACATCCTACTCAATGTTTGACACTTAATCTAAATTTTTAGATGGCAGTAACACTTATTTATAGATGAAAAAAGTCATTTCTTCATTTCGATTTAAAGGTTTCCACTTTTTCTTTAAAAAGATAGAAAACTTATAAATACGTTTGATAATTGTTTTGTTGGTTAAGATTCATACTTACACACATTTCTAATTAAGTATTCTTCCAAAAAACTAGTTTGGCGTGGGAGCTTTACCAGAAACTGAAGGTTAATTATTGCGAGGGGGGGGGGGGGGGGGGGGGCGTGTACACCATAATAAGAGCTTCATTTCACATAACATTCATTTCTGCAAAATATGAAAAAGATAAATTTCTTCACAACCTTTTTTCATTTTTAAAGGGACTGCCGACCAAATTTGCATTGTTACTGCCATCTTAGAATGTCAGGAATTATGAAAGCTATACTTAATTCGTACAGTTCGACCCTTTCGAATCGAAGATGGGCAGGAAGCGCTCTGAATCAGTAATGTCAATATTTAAAAAAATAGACTAGTTGAAAAGTGATTTTACAAATATGTTTTACTTTGAAATCAAATTTAGTATTTTATGAACGCCATATAACATTTTTATTCATTTCTATGGAAGAAGACATTAAAAACTATTTACAAACTGTCATGTTTGGTGGGACACCCTGTATGTGGCTCAATTGTTTTTCAGCTTTAACAAAGGTTTAAGGGTATTCTGACAATCGGGGATAAAATGAACAAATGAAAGATTTTGTTTTATAAATTCATTTTTTTTTCTTTAGAAATTGAAAGAATCAACGCTAATACCAAAGCTTGAAAACCAAAGAACCGATTATTCAAATAAAATCAGATTTCAGACAGACAGGTATCATTTTCAAAATTATTTGTGATATATTGGCTCGTAGGCTTTTGATTTCTCAATTTAGATAAATAGAAAGATAGTTAATTATTAAATGATAGATTGACAAAATTAATACATGAATAGACGGAAAAATAGAGAAGAGAAAAGTAGATAGACAAGGAGAGGGTTAAGTTATCCTATATAACCGTCATTTGTATATGATATTTTTTAAGTGATGATTTACATTTAAAGAATTAAAAATTTATTAGAGAAAACTTTTAATCTCCATGATTTCTATCTTTCTAAATAAATGTTCATGACAAACCTAATGTGAACAGGAAGTGAGGTTGGCTGTTCGTAAATCTGGTTTCTTAGTTTAGGTTTAATCTGATGAACAGCTTTTTGTTCAGACTTTTTTGGTTTGGATTTGGATTTCACGTCTATATCGGTAATTGTTGATCTTGGTCGATCTACTGATTTGGAAGTACGAGAATATCCTTGGGGATTTCTATAGATGATTTGAAGTGGAGGATTTTTTCTCAAATCTGGCGAATTTTTCGGTTGGATTTGGTGGAGTTTTGCAGGATTAGTTGGAGTTCCGCGGGAATCCATTATAAACATTCTATCCTGCACATTTTGTCGTACATCGTGATAATATGAGTTCCTGATTGGTTTATCAGGAACGTATGCATTCCTGGTGTGATTATCAGGAACACTTGTTGTATCCAGAACAGGGCAGTCTATTAACCCAAAGTTTTTAAATTCAATCATACTTTTACGCTCTCTTCGCCTGTCATTGATGTCTGATTTAGTTTCTAGGATATTTGGTTTTCTAGTTCTTGATCTAAAATTAATGCATATTTAATTGTGTAATATTTCATAACGCCTCTGAAATATACTAAAAAAAATAAACAATATCAGTTTTCTTAATAAAGTATTGTTTTTTTTTATCAAAAAATCTATTTGGCAATGGAAATATTTAATCATTTTAGAGGGATGGGGCGCTGTTCTTGCTTCTTTAAGATTTTGCAGAAAGAAATTGAAAGGGTAGAATACTAGAAATACGGAAAAATTGTAAAGCTGATATAAATTTCAGATACCTCAGAAATTTTCTAAATTCCAAGTTTTAAGTTTTGCTACGTAAGACTAAAGTTCAGAGTCACAGGACATTCAACCAAGATCTCCAGTTTACCGTGGCATGGTGTAGGAAAAGCAGTTTTATTTTTACCTGTGGGAGAATTCTTCAGTCCATTCTCCGTCAGTGAAGTCCGCTCTAGTTCCCTTTTACAAAAATATAAATAAAGAAGATGCATAGATTTTTTATCAAAGAAATTGAGTCTTTGCTACAAACTTGATTGTCTATTTCCTATATCTTTGCAATCCCATGTCGTAGACCTTAGATTTTTTAAAGTACGATTTCTGTTAGATCAAATAGTCTAAGTTTAAAATATATAAAGTTAACATGATAAAGATATAGGGATTAGAAAATTTGAGTTTGTTGCAACGACTCAATCGAAATAATAAAGCTTTTCGGTCATGTATATATATATATAGATTTTACAATATGAATATAAAATATGAAGAATATAAAATATAAAATATTTGAGTACCCCAGAGTACTAAACATTTCGAATTTAAAAGGAGTAATTGCAACCAAACTGCTCGAGCCTCGATGTTTGGGTGAGAGCTGTATAAAATGTACTGTACGCGTAATTTCAAGTGACCCTCCATGGCAAGATTTACAACGGTATACATAAAATCTTTGTATGAAAAATATTTTTATAATTTCAAGAAAAATATTTAAAAGTGAATATTTGCAAATTATCTTTTTTCCATCTCATAATCTGAGTTCGTTTCCCTTGACAGCCCAAATTTTCATTTTGAATAATTCTTTTTGTTTGTTTTATCTTCTTGTGATTTTTTACAATTTAAAAAATTTTTTTTTTATCAATTTTGATTGTTATTATATCGTTAGAACTCACGAGGGTCAACCCAGACCGAAATATATTTTCAACAAATGTGGAACTATAACATCTACTTTTTTTACTCTACAAAGGTTTGGTCCATCACCATCACCGAATTTTAAAAGAATGAAAAATATATTGTTAATTGTGGTTTCTTTACAAAGTGGATTGTGCATTTCGACTGCAGAAAAACTTATAAGAATTATCAGTATTAAATACTTGTAAATTATAAAAACGACAATATCTTCCACATTATTGATCAGATAAAGGTTTCGAAGGTACCGCGTTGTGAATCGGACAGTTTTTCATAATAATTGATATATATATATATGGTAGAACGTCCCGTTGCAATAATATGAAGATTGTATTGTAAGATTAGAGTTTGTGTTCAGTTCTTATTTACACTTATTTCGTTTCCAAAATCTTTGAAATTTTCAATATCATTTACTTTAAAAATTTCTTTTATTTATTTAAATTTTCCTGACTCCAGCCGGCACTTGAATACCCGAACTCTCCACTTCGACGATTATCTAAAAACTCTCGTTTCGCTTGATCTCTTCGTCGCCGAAGCCGAATTGAAGTGCTTCGAAGAGGAACGCGTTCCATATTTGGTTCCTGGTCCATCATAATTGATCGGCAAATAGTTTCTTAGTTTAGGTCGATTTGTCACTGTCAGCGATGTATTTTTTACATTTTGTTATTTTTTTCAGTGCGCTTACTTTTTTTAAACGATTAATTTTCTCTCGCGCGCATATAATCACTGAATTGTTTCAAAAATAAAGTTATATTGCATAACACCATTGATAGAGGTTTTAAACAATCACATTTTTATCGCCTTAATCTTATTCTTCTTTTATTCATTGTTAATAGAGGCATTAAGGCACCTGTTAGTGGCGCTTATCCAGGCATATAATGGTTGGTGGGCTTGCGTGTACCAAACATTAACTGAAGATATGATACAAGTGTGGTTTTTGATAGATAGATAGATAGATGGCTGTAATACATAGATAGATAGATTGAAAGGAAGCGACGCCGGGCCGCCGGTGATTTACTCGCCACAGGTGAGTGACAGATAGATAGATAGATACATCGATGGATAGATTATTTCGAAAGGTATACTGAGATATAGATAAATAGAAAGATAGTTAATTATTAAATGATAGATTGACAAAATTAATACATGAATAGACGGAAAAATAGAGAAGAGAAAAGTAGATAGACAAAGTGGCATCTAGATTCAAGATATATTGTAAGTGGTACAAGTGATCGGGGTTTCCCCGTTTGTTAACCCTATCTCTGCTGGGGTACTTGAAAACCAGGATGTGCTGGGGGGGGGGGGTCAATTTGACCCCCCCTCTAAATCCGATGTTTGATTTCCAAATATGACAAATGATACATCATTGGAAAGCTCATGTGCTCTACTTTTAGAATCTGCAAAAAAATTTGCAATTTGCAAAAATAGAATTTTTTATCGCAAAATCCAGTTATATAGTAAAAATGTTTGCAAAATAAAATTTGTCCAAAAAATGAAAAATTATACACTTTTGAAAAGCCCTTGACCATGCGATTTTAAATATGCAAAAATTTTTGCAACATTTTAAATAACCTGATTTTTAATCAAGAAAAACTAAAAATGTACAAAATTCCTTTGACAGGTTGTTTGCAAAAAATTTACTTTTTTTTTCTTGTGCAATTCGTTTCCTTATGTCAAAGGCTTTCCAAAAAGCTAAATTTTATCAAAATCTGACATGTAGAAGTGGGTCAAAACAAAGATTTAGTTTGTTACAGGAAAAAGCAGTCATTCAGGCAGTGTGCCTGAGGACTCATGCAGTAAATATTAAAGCCCGGTTTTAGGCCTAAAGGGAGGGCTTTGGGTATGTAGGAAAAGTCAGAAAATTTCAACAGCCTTAGACCAATACTTTTTGAGTTATGTAAAAAAAAACTACAGGGGGGGGGGGTAAATTTGACCCCCCCCCCAGCAGGAATAGGGTTAATGAAGTTGGCGTTCTTTCATGAAGTTTTGATCTGAATTTTATAAAAACCGGTTTCCGTGTGGCAATTTCAACTTGCGAAAAAATCGCCTTTTATAAATGTTGTTTTAATTTTCAAATCTAATAGTGTGGTGATAAAAAAACTGAAAAAACTGTTTTACTTACAAAACACGAATCTAAATTGTTGAATATAGAGAGATTGCAAAAATTTCCTGATTTCTGAATAGTTTGTCAGGTTTTAGCATAAAAATAAGCAAAAAAAATAATTTGACAATTCTGCATTGTTAAAAAGATTTAATAAATCTCGAAGAAATGTTCGTGACCTGGATCCGGATCTATTTTTTTCCGGTCCGGATCCAGGATCCAGGATCCGCATCAAAATGAAATGGATGCTAATCACTGTAATATGGAATGCTAAAAATCGTTTATTCTAAATTCGAATAGATTTGTTACACAGTGTCAGATATGAGATAGTTTATTTATAAAATATCATCTGATCAGATATAATGTTAAAACTCGTTTCATTGAAGTTTTTCTTGGGATGGGGGACATCATCAGGACTTCTGAGGAGAGGGGTTACCTTTCCGATTTTTAAGAATGTTATGAAAAAGTTCTAGTAAATATTTTCTGTACGTGAGAAATGACAAGGGGGAGCAGCTCATGTTCAACCTCCCCAACCCCAACTGTTCATGACACGACAGCATTTACATTTTTTATTGAAATAGACATTTAGGAAATTTCCCAGATAACCCAGGCATTTGGGAAATTCCCCAAAATTCCTTTAGCTTAACACAGGCATTTTTAAGATTTTGGAAATTTCTCAAATGACTGGATATTTGGGGAATTTCCCAAAAATCTTGGCATTTGGGAAATTCCCCAAATTCCTGTAGATATTTGAGGGTGGTATATTTTTAAGATTTTGGAAATTTCTCAAATGACTGGATATTTGAGAAGTTTCCCAAAAACTTAGGCATTTGGGAAATTCCCCAAATTCCTGGGTTTTTGGGAAAATCCTATTTTTGACATTTTTGATTATTGCTGTCACTCCCTCCACCTGTTATGACATAAAACTGGATAAATGCTTAAAACAAATTCAAGGAGTGATAAGTTTTGTCAGGGGTTAAACAAACATTCAATATTTCAATTTTATCCACTGAAATTGTTTATATACCGCCCCTTTTAATCTTCTGTTACATCAACCTATAGTCTACAGTTATAACCAGAAAACTACGAAATAGGAAGACGACTTTTAGAATACAGTTGTAACTTTAAAAACTCAAATGAGCATGAGACACAGCCATCGTGCAGTGTAAATTCACCAAATAAGTGATTTTATTCGTGTCTGGCAAAACTATTTGCTTTGTAACCACATCAAATACACTTCATTTTTGCTATAATATGGTCTTCAAATTTAATTGTTTTCTGGTAGTGTATATGTCTTATTTGTCTGTTTTTTGTGTGTGTTCAATAAGCGCCAAAACGACCAATCGGGCCTAATTATTGTTATTTATTCTTAATCTAATATTGGAAGGATTAGATAGATAAATATGGTATAATTGATGTAGATAATAACTAGACATTTCTATTTATAAGGTTTGGTCAAATTTTAATCATTTTCTCGCTCGTCTTTGCTTTAAAAAACAAACATTCAAAATCAAAGTTGTTCTTTAACGGAATTGAGTCTTTGCGACAAACTCTGATTTGCCATGCAATCCCCATCTATGAGCAACCCGATGTTGTAGACCTTAGATATTTCTTCCGCTCTGAATATACAGGGTGTCCCACGAAACATGACAATAGGAAGACGACTTATTGACAAATAAACGCAGCAAATTATATCAAAAATCAAGACGACATTTAAGTCGTCCTGCATACTGTCATGTTTCGTGGGACACCCTGTAGCCTTTTAATGGCTTATTAAATAATTTGGTAATTGGAAGGAACAAAGTTTTTAGTTGCAGCCTTGCAGGAAAGCATAAATATTAGAATCTCGACAGTATACATTCTGTACAATCTCATCCTTTATGGGTAACCCCAAGGTAATAATGCAAGGAAAGTTAATTGCGGTCGCGTATACTCTGCGAGTCCGTACATATTGAAACCAGTTCTCTCTGGGCGGAATTTGTAAACAAGAATAGATGCACCAGTGTTCGTTTAGTATCCGAGGAGGTTAAAGGCATTAAATTTTGATAATTTTGATAATTCACATAATAGTTTCTTATGACCAGAATATGTAATTGATTTTTTACGTGAAAGATGGATCCCATGTCAGGCTTCGACATCCGTCTTGCGTTTACATTACCGCCCAAAGACAGTACACTGCAGTACAAAAATGCGTACACCTCTGAAATAACTTTCCTTGCATTAGTACCTTGGGTAACCCTGTCTCTATGTTGAAATATTAGAACATTTCCTTAAAGAAAGGTATTTTTGCTATACTGTGGTTTCCTTAAGTTCTATATATCAGGTTGTTCAAGGTTGTATAATGAGTTTAAGTGGTAGTCTTGAGTATAACATAGCTCCCACAGTTAAGTGAAATATATATATTTTAAAATACAAACTCAACTCTAAGGGACTGTAAGCGTTATTTAAAGTAACCCACCATGAAAAGATGACAATTTCCGATTCACAACAATACCCTTGAACCCTTTGAAATGTAATGTAGAAGATTTTTGCATTTTTTTCTAGGCTTAAAAGTGTTCAGTTCTGATAATTCCTACATGTTTTCATGCAGTAGAAATGCGCAAATCCCGTGGAAGAGAAACCACAATTGAAAATAATCAGTTTTTATAATTTATAAACCTTGATATCTAATTCATAATCGATCAGATTTTAAGGGTAATGTTGTGAATCGGGCATTGTCAGCTTTGCATGGAGAGTCACTCTTAAGGGAATTGTTCACGTACATATTCAAGTGTAGAAAGTTACAAAATTTAGTTTGATATTCAAAACTAAGCTAACTTTACACCTGAAAAATGTCAAGAGCCAGATTATGTTGATCTTTAAGGAAATCATAACTTTTTCAAGCTCTTGAATAACTATACAAATCTGAAAGTACGCGATAATTTCAAATTTGAAACGAATGATCCTAAACGAAGTGTTAAGATATTTAAAATGGGTTTAAATTTTGTGAACACCCACTTTATTTTCTTGTGTTCTTTTGAATCAGGATATTAAAATAAGATAATACAGTGGTACTATTAAAACTGTGGAATGCTGAGACCAATAAAGTGAAAATGAACTTATTTAGTGAAATGGGTCTGTGTACACTGCACAATCGCGTGTTTCCTGGATTATACATCAAACATTCTACAGTTTTCTGGGTCACTCTAATCTATGAAGTTTTACGCGTCAAAAAGGATACGGTTATTATAAAGAAAAATGGTTTCTACAAAAATACGTAGATATTATATCACCCCCCTTTCATGTTACCCTCGACTTAGAAACGGAAGTTAGAAATTTTGTTCTCAGGGAGCCGGCAAGTGGGCCAGGGGCGTAATACTCTACTCTTGTGGGGGGGGGGGCTTTTAATTTGAACGTTGAATGATTTGAACAAGTTTATCAATTGAATTTGGGGTTTGCATGAGAGGGACATTCTTGAGGGAGTGGGATTAATGGACCTAGATTACACCCCTGAAGGCAGGCTAGATAGGTAGACATGGAGATGATTACACACTTCCTCTGAGACGAATTTTGATGGAGACAAATATTTGAAATTTTGATGATTCATAAACCTTCCCTGGGCTCCCTAGATGTCCCACAAAAAATTTGGGCCCGATCGGTTCAGCCGTTTTGACGTTTATTGGATACAAACAAACAAACAGCCAAACAAACAGACAGACAAACAAGCCAAATTTATATATAGATACAGGTAGTTTCAGTATACATAAGATTACTTTACATCAGTATTACAATATACAGGTAGTCTCAGTATACATAAGACTACTATACATCAATATTACAATATACAGGTAGTTTCAGTATACATAAGACTACAATACATCAATATTTCAATATACAGGTATTCTCAGTATACATGAGACTACTATACATCAGTATTACAATATACAGGTATTCTCAATATACATGAGACTAGTACTTAAATTGATTTATTAATGTTACCTCAGGCCTTTGAAGCAAAAACGTTTTTTGTTTGTGATTTGTATTTTATGTTTCGTGTGAACCCTGTTCTCGGCTGTGGCGCATTATAACTTAAATTATCCTTTCCTAAATTAAGTCAGAAGAAAGAAGCTTTACAACAACCAATATATCTTTCCCAGGACCAATTTATCATTGCCCCCCCCCCCACCCGCTAGCGAACCTTCACAGTGCACATCCTACTGTATTCTGAATCCCCCTGCACAGTGCACATCCCACGGTTTTCTGAATCCGCCTGCACAGTGAACATCTTGCTGTTTTCTGAATTTCCATCAACATTGAATATCCTACTGTATTCTAAATCTCCCTGCACAGTGGACCTTAGCATCCTACTGTTTTCTGAATCCCCCTGCACAATGGACCTGGACATTCTACTGTTTTCTGAATCCCCCTGCACAGTGCACAGCCTACTGTTTTCTGAATATCCCTGCACACTGCACAATGCACATCCTACTGTATTCTAAATCCCCCTGCACAGTGGACCTGGACATCCTAGTGTTTTCTGAATCCCCTGCACAGTGCACAGCATTCTGTATTCTGAATCCCCCTCAACAGTGAATATCCTACTGTTTTCTGAATATCCCTGCACACTGCACAATGCACATTCTACTGTATTCTAAATCTCCCTGCACAGTGGACCTGGACATCCTAATGTTTCCTGAATCCCCCAATACAGTGCACATTCTACTTTATTCCGAATCCCCTTGCACAGTGCACATCCTACTGTTTTCTGAATATCCCTATCCCCTGCACAGTGCACAGCCTACTGTATTCTAAATCTCCCTGCACATTCTACTGTTTTCTGAATCCCCTGCACAGTGCTTATTCTACTGTATTCTAATTCCCCTTGTACAGTGAACATATCATTGTTTTCTGAATCCCACTGCACAGTGCACAGCCTACTGTATTCTGAATACCCCTGCACAGTGCACATTCTACTGTATTCTAATACCCTTTGCACAGTGAACATATTATTGTATTCTGAATCCCACTGCACAGTGCACATAATACGGTTTTCTGAATCTCCCTGCACACTGCACATCCTATTGTCATTTCCAGTTCTCTGATTCAATAAACGCATCCTCAAATCATCTTATCTTGGCGAAATCGTGCCCAGGATATTAGGTTGGAAGATAAAATGGTAAGATTTGAGCTGGAAATATTAGAATAAATGAAAACTAATATCAGTCTGAAAATATCCGCGTTAATTTGCATAGAACTTCATACTGTTCCCCTATGATAAATACATTTATTAAAAATTACCCATAAATATAAGGGAACATATAGACCATTGACAAAAATAAGAAAAACTTAAGGACAAGGGCGGGGGAAATTTTGCAAATTCGCACGAAATGCTGTTTTCCCCTTAGTCTTGCCCCTGGCTGAACTCCTCATTGGATTTCATTTTTATTCAATATTTTTCTAAATCTTCTTCAACCATGTTTAGCGGAAACTAGGACACCCATCGGAGGACGGATTAAGAAACATCCTTTATAAAAAGTAAAATGTTTATTAAGATACACATTGTTTATCACATTTGCTAAAACTAAGAAGAAATTGAGCTAAAAACTAAATTAACGATTACAACTTTATATTTTACTAAAATGTGCAGGCTTTAGGTTGAGAAATGGCTTTGATTGGAAAACGCTTCCTATGCCTTGGTTTTGACACAGTTGACATGCGGAATCCTGATATAAGGAATATATTTCAGCGAGGGGAGGAAGGCCAGCCACATCAATTTCTCGTCCGAGCCACATTCTCCTCATTTTCTCGTCCGAGCCACCTTTATGCCCTAACGTGGCCCGTTTCATTATAAATAGTTATATCTGGGAGGATTAGACAATTAAAAAGCATAATGTTGAAAGGACGAGGATTTCGAGGTGGCTTGGACGAGAAAATGAGGAGAATGTGGCTCGGACGAGAAATTGATGTGGCTGGCCTTCCTTCCCTCTTTTAACTGCTGTAAATGATGAAATTAATGGGTGCATTAACATTTCTTAAATACCTTCATGAATGATTTAAAAATGAAAAGATTCTCGGCGTAGATTTCCAGTGGTTTCCTGGGAAGAGAGAATTAACCAAATTATTGCAGGGGATATTTTAGGTTCTTTCAGAATTAAAAAGGATTGTTTACCACATTCAAAATGATTCTGAAATACCAATTTTGTGCTGGAAAGGATTTTAAAACTAGTGAACTATCCCTTAGAATACTCGTGTATTATATATCTTATAATTTTTTAAAACTTAAATATCAACAAAAAAGAAAAAGGTGCTAAACAAAACAGGTTCTTTCAAATTAGATTAGCAACAGTCCCCGCGGGGGGGGGGGGGTTTTTTCCCCCCCCCCGTTTACGTCTCTGGTTCAACACAATTCATCAAAAATAGATTCTCTGATTTATCTTTCCAGCTGAGAAATCGTTTAACATTTATACAATTTAAAACCAGTAGATAATATTATAAAATGGTTTATATTGAATACACAGCTGTACACAATATTGAATATAAAGCATGGCACAATGGTTTCAACCATTTATAAAACAGTGAACAATGGTTTAATCCATGTACAGAGCAGAACACAATGGTTTAAACCGTGTACAAAACTGTGCACAGTGGTTAAAATTGTGTACAAGGCAGTGCAGAATGGTTTTAACCTTTTGCACGGCAGTGGACAGTGGTTTAAACCGGGACCTAGGCAGTGCACAATGGTTTAAATGTTGATCATACATTTTTGTTCTGAAGTGAGGTTGATGGGAGGTATGGTAGGTATATGATGAGTGATTGATATAGGTATAGATGGCTGAAGGCAGGGGTCTCTATATCAACAGTTTTCTTCAGAAATAAAAAATAAAAAATTACTGAAAACTTTTTTTATAAGATATAGCTAATCTAAGTATCTGTAGTGAACAAATTTGAACAGAAGAGTCAAGCTTGAAAGAATTAGTAAAAAAATAAAAAAAGGCTCCGTCCATCGTGTTCATTCCTCTTAATGTGTTTCATTAGTTTTGGAACTATTTTGATCTTTTTAGTCGTGTTAAACCCTTTATAATAGTTTTGATTTATCATAATTTATCATTCATTCTAAAACTGTTTGTCCCTTGTGCAAGATTTTTTATGTTTTGCAAGGGCCCAGTTATCAGCTGTCTTGAACACACAAAACTTACAAGTATACGGGGTCAATCCTCTGCAAACAATCAATCAATATCATTATAAATTCTTAAGATACAAGGTTACAAAATTCTGACCTTTTCCTACTGTACAAAGTTGAGTACCGTAGAAAGGGATATGTGTTCATTATAAAAAGGTTTATTGAATCAAGAACTTAAATAAAAAAATTAAATTAGAAGATATTTTCATTTTAAGATTCCGTTAAACCTGAACCTAAAGTCTAATATCTAATATTTAATTTCTCCGGATTGATTGGTTGATTTATTGATTGATTGATTATTGTTCCTGTCTTTGTACTCATGGTCTATGGCCTGCTGACTGTAGCGGAAAACTTTCCCACACCCTTTACAAGGATAAGCACCCTCTCGTCTACAATTAAATCTATATATATACTTTGCTTGCCTGTTTGTTTGTCGGTTTGTATCGAATAAACGTCAAAACGGCTAAACCAAACGGGCCCAACTTTGAGTGGGACCTCACAGCACCCCAGGTAAGATTCATGGAAAATCAAAATTGGAAAAAACATTCTTAATGGGCCAGTTCGAAGGGAAAATTCCGCCAACGTTTGAAAACGATTAAATGAAAACAGCATCATCAACTTGAAACCAATCATTTTCTAGAAAAATCTTGCTTTGCAAACTGTTTTAAAATAATAAAAAAATGAAAATATCATTAAACTAAAAAAACCCACTTTACAATAGTTTAAAATTTAAAATTTTGTATTTAAAAGGTGGCTTTCAGAACTAAATTCAGCATGACATTTTCAGGGAACTAATTATTTAAAATTGATTTTCATTTAAAATATCTTTAAAAAACCACTTTACGGACAGTTTAACATTTAAAATTTAGAATGTAAAAGGTGGCTTTCAGAACTAAATTCAGCATGACATTTTTAGGGAAACAATTACTTAAAATGTTTCTATTTAAAATATATTAATTTAGAAAGTATTTTTCAAATTTGATTCACAAAAGATATTGGCTGATGTAAAAATGATATGATTGAAAATAAAAGATCAATTAATCTTTACTATATTACAGAATATTTTTGTGTGTTAAAATAAAAAATAAAGGTAATATTAACCTGTGAACATGCTTCTTGTGTTTATTTAGAACAATATTACTGATGAACGTTTTCCCGCACTCATCACATGCTTTCCTAAACACAACATTTTAAAGGAGACTACCTGATTTTCCTTTCTCCAACCTCAATATTTAAAGGAGACTGTGCGTAACATTCTTTTCTTCAAACTCAATTTTTAAAGGGGAGGGCTCATCAAATATTTTCATGAACACAATATTTTAAAGGGATCTTTTATCATATGTTGTTTAATCACACTAATTTAAAGGGGATAAATAACTCAATATTGAAAAAAATGGATGTTTTAACATTAATAATCATTACTATTATAATTATCGTTTATTGAAGTTGGGGCCGGCGCGCCAAAGATGGTTATACAATATATCAAGTAGACCTGCATAATAAAAAGACAAACCGTTTCAAATAGAAAAGAGGCCCTTGAACTTTTTTTTCAAGTAAAAATTGTGTTATTTTTCATCGGGGGGGGGGGGGGGCGGAAAAGAGGGAAACATAATAAATTATAATATTTACCTTATTCCCATGTGAACTGCTTGAATGTGTTCTTTTAATGCAAACTTCACTTTCCCTAAACTTCCTAAACATTGAAGATATTTCCTAAACTTCCTAAACATCGAAGATATTTCCTAAACTTCCTAAACATTGAAGATATTTCCTAAACTTCTAATCATCGAAGATATTTCCTAAACTTCCTAAACATTGAAGATATTTCCTAAACTTCCTAAACATTGAAGATATTTCCTAAACTTCTAATCATCGAAGATATTTCCTAAACTTCTAATCATCGAAGATATTTCCTAAACTTCTAATCATCGAAGATATTTCCTAAACTTCCTAAACATCGAAGATATTTCCTAAACTTCCTAAACATCGAAGATATTTTCTAAACTTCCTAACCATCTAAGATATTTCCAACATCGAAGACATAAACTCCCCAAACATCAAAGATTTTCCCTAAACTTCCTAAAAATAAAAGATTCTCCCTAAGTCATGAAAATCAAGATTGTTCCCCATGATTTCCTAAAACTCATAGATTTTCCACCCTAGACTTCTTAAACATTAAGAATTTTTCCAAATAGAACATAAAAGATTTTGCTCTAGACTTTCTAAACAAGGATTTTCTTATATTTCATAAAAATCGATTTTTTTTCTGGAATAATAGGGAACAACATTTTAACCCCGTAGCATTAAATATCAATTGCGAGATAAAAACAACTTACTCTGAAACTCACAACCTCCCTTTCAAGTTTGAAAATACATATATATTTTGTTCTGATTATAATTACATTTAATCCTTTCATATGATAATAAAAAATAAAAATAATAAAAATAATAAAAATAAGTAAAAGAAATAAAATAATTAATTGTGCTTACCTAGGGCTGGGCAAAGTTCCGTTAACGAAACGGAGGTTTTCGAAAATCAACAGAAGAGTCCGTTAACGAACGACAAAACCGTTAATTTTTAAATCCTTTACAAAAAATAAGCCATTTTAGAAAAAAAAAATAACAGTTAAAAACGTTAACTAAAAGGCTAAAAACGGTAAATTTCGTTATTTTCTGATTAAAATTGCACGAATTTTTTAAAATAAAATGTTTTAAGCGTTTTAATGTTTTAAAATGTTGTTAACAAAATTATCGATTTTTAAAAACCGTTAACGAATTTCTTTTCGCCATTAACGCCATTAATTTTGTATTAACAATACCATTATTGGCTAGAGCCGTTAAAGATTGTTGAACATTTTCCGTTAACACCGTTAATAAAAATTGAGATTGTTAACTGTAATTTAAAAAAACGGAAAATGCCATTAACAGAACAAACAACTGATTTTTTTTAATGGTTGGAACGAACCGTTAACGAAACGGCTAGAAAAAGTTGGAACGTGCCCAGCCCTACGTAGTAGCTAACTTCATGGGGAAATGATAAAGTTATAACGCTCAATATCAATTGTATGTGGTAAGAAAAACTAAATTGTATTCCTAATAAAAAAGAAATTGGTTATTACATTATAATTACTAGCTTGGGAACCCAGCGCTGCCCAGGTAACTTCCGCTGTTTACCCGCACTTAAACGATATTTCAGAGAAGCTAAATTTTCGCTATCATAGTCGACCCACTTAACGTAGAATCTCAAAACAAAGGTAAGACCATTCACATAGTTCTCCCAATTTCCCCAACCAACATTTTAGGCAAATCGGTCAAGAGATTTCTGAGTTATGATCGGAAAAACAAACAGACAGACAAACAGAGATTACAACTTAATACATATATATAGATAATTATAATTTTAATAATTATTAATATTATTTTATTATATTTTTATTGGTAACTATGATAGATTATCTAACAAATACTTGCTAATTTTAAGAATTTTTAAAAAAGTGAACCATCAATTTAAAAAAAATAATATTTTTTTATTTTTGAAATAATTTTATTAACCTGTAAACTCTTTACAACAATATTCACAGACGACCTTCCCTTCAGCCCCATTGCTGTGTATCTGCTTTATGTGCAAGTCGAAGGAGTATGGGGTGTGGTACTTACGGTTTCTAGGAAACATAATCAATCAATCAATATCTAGTTCTACGTAACAGAACAGTTTTTTAAAATCTGTATAATAGAAGGCGTACAGAACGATTCAGTTTTAAACCATGTTGAAACCAGTTTGAAACTCTTTTAAAACTTGTTTGAAATCGAGAATGAAATCAGTCTGTAACTTGTCTATAACGCGTTTAATATCTGGTTAAACCAGTATGAACCAAGTTTGAATAGTTCGAATCAAATTTTAAACGAATTTGAAAAGAATTTTAAATGAATTTGAAACCAGTTTTGAACTAGTTTGAATTTGGGTTGTTGCAAGCTTGAAACCGGGTCAAATGACAAACTCAACCCAGTTATATGAAATCAGTCCTTCCAATTAAGCCTATCTCAAGATAGGTTCTGGGAACTATATTCTTACCTCAACTGATTATTTTCACTACACTGGGGAAAGCTGATGGGTTCTGGGAACTATATTCTTACCTGAACTGTTTAATATCACTACACTGGGGACAGCTGATGGGTTCTGGGAAGGCCCCCTCGTGGAATTTTTTCATATGTTGAGTTAAGTTATGCTCACTCTGGTGCACAGAGTAGAAGTCAAACCAATAAGTAGGTAAATAAAGAATAAAGCAAAATTTGAATATTCAATTTCATAAATAAACGCGTATCATTAATGTGAAATTTGAAACCAATGTTAAAACTTTAAAAATGTGAATTTAAAAACTTAATTATAGCAAAAAACAAAAATTGAGGGACTTAAAGTGAAGTGGATTTAGTAAAAATTGTATTGTGGAATTCGGAAAACCGAAAAAATTGGATTGAAATTCATTTCAGGGTGGCAAAAACTTTAAAAAAAATCCATACATACATGTATAAAAATTTCCATACAATCCGTACATTAAAATCCGTGCAATCGGTACATTTTCTAATGAAAAATCTGTACGTTTTAGAAAAAAGTCTGTACACTCAGTACAAAAAAAATTATTTTGAGAAAAAAAAAAACATTTTTGTGGGACACCATTTTTGGCATAACCTCGCGAAGGAACACTTTTGGAACATATACTCGAAAAGATGACTGAATGAATTTTGATTTTCAATTGAAACAACAATCAACCTAATATAATTCGGAATTAAGATAATAAGTTCATTTTGACCACTTTTTTCAGATTAAAATTCCTGAAAATCCGTACAATTTGAGTCATTATCCGTACAATTTTTTGCTAAAAATTAAAAAAAATCCGTACAATCCGTACATTTTAGGCCACCCTGAAATTCGTTAAACATTCAAAAAGGAAATTAGTAGTTTCTCAGTTTCTGAATATATTTTTAGGTCCTGGTGTTTGATGTTTTTAAGTATTAATTTTCCAGATAAATTTCAGGTTAGCACCCATTCATGGAAATAGCATGTCCGATTCACAGCGGTACCCTTAAAAGCTTCGACTAATCAAGAATGAATGAATTATTCATGATTCTCTTCTTGAAATACAATATTTTTTATTGGGGGTTTCTCTGAGAAAGTAAGTTTGGCAATTCTGCTTACACGAACAATGTAGTTTAATTTACAGAATTAAAAACTTTCTGAGCTAGAAAAATTATGGTATCTACCACATTATTGATCAGATAAAGGTTTCAATGGTCCGTTTGAGAATCAGTAAAATAAAGCATCACTTATTACATCCTTATAGCAAACTATGTTTGATAAAAGAAAATTAAAAATTCATTTTTTTCACTTTTATATGACAACTTTTCCTTTTTCTTTTCTCCACAAATAATGCAGGTGGTAGATAATGGTTTCTCGCGTTTTATCATTTTACTCGAGATTCCGTGAATGCCTGAATAGAAACAAATCTAACAGTTGAATAGAACTTTATTTTTTAACTTCTCACAATAAAATATTAGTGTAATATTTTTATTCAAAACAGACAGTCACTCTGATTTCAAGCAGCCTTACAGCAAAAAGCATAACGTGGTTAGAGATAAGTAATTATAGAGGGATAAATTCACTCATTATCCCTCTTTTTCTCTGACTCATAAATCCGCAAGTTACTTTAAATAGCCTTGTGAATCAGACAAATAAAGGGTCGATTAAAACTAAATCGACAGACACTTCAAAATTTTAGAGCAAAAAATGAAGCAATTTTTTCTCACGTTACTCTTCCCATTAAAAATAATAATTCTGTAATAAAAAATTGTTAAATACAGAAAGTGTTTGAACGAAACTAAACTAAATCTTTAAAATCTTAAAAAATACGAAACAAAAAAAAGTAAAAAAAAGTATAGTGGTGTAGGGTGGCTAGTGTGTGAAACCAGTTCTAGTTAGATCACTGAAGCTAAGCACACTTGTCCACAGCTAGTAACTGGATTGGTGTTCACGGGTTTGATCCCGTACTCCACATGATCCTGTGGTTTCAAAAAACATCTGAAACCGACGTCTGGTTAACAGTTATGACCACCAGACGGATGAAGGAGGACAGAAGGCAGAGTAAGATGCGTGCTTTATAATGAACAAGAAAGAACCTCTATATGGATTGATCCAAGTGAATGATGATGAAGAGAGGAAAGGGATAGTCTATGGTTGCCAGCTATAGATACCTGGAGGTATCATCCAATCCGGGCTTACAAATGATTTGCAGCAATGAGTGTGATGTTTCCTATCAGTATGGCACCCAGGCCTCATTCCGGTATACCAGAAGGATTCCTTCACTCTATATTCTCAGGCCTAAGAAGAATATTAGGCAGCCAAATTCTTGTCAGCCCTCTTCTCAGTATGAAAACAACGTGGACGGATGAATGTGCTGCCAGATTACAACCCCTGGTAGATCAATAAAAACCCATGCAACACCAAATCTTTGTAATCAAAATAATTCCGAGATTTGATCGTAACAACCTGATCATGTCCTGGGGACAAAAAGGAGTGACCGGCTATGTAAAGTAGTTGAACTGAGTATGCAGTGTTGTGGAAAACTTCTTTCGGATTCATTTGAGACATATTAAACTCTTGAGTTTGAGCACAAACTCGACGTTCAAAACTCCTACTCTGGAAGTGGATACGTTTTCAGAATTAGTTATTTTAAATTATTAAATAACGACGACATAAAATGTAAAAAAGTTCTACAATAAACTACAGACGTCATGTTGAGAAAATAAAAAATAATCTTATCATCGAAAATGAGTTTTGTTGTTCAATTATTAGTTTCTATTTTCTCATTATTCACAAAGATTTTTTGCAGATTTTCTAGAATTATTATTGAAAAGACGACATTTGAAGAATTTGAAGAGATCTGCGAATAAAAAAACGAAATAATCGATTTTAGCATTGATTTATTGACAAATTTCTTTTGAGAAATATGTTTCTAACCATCTAATTAGATTACTGTATGATTTTTACTTTATTTTCGTTGTCGTTATTCAATAATTTAAAAAGAAAACTAATTCTGAAAACGTATCTACCCAGCAAACCTTTATACAATGACATTTAAATCATTTAGTATAATAAAAATAATGTTTTTCTTTCAAACAAAATTTTGAATTTTGTAAACCCTATTCCCGCTGGGGGGGGGGGTCAATTTGACCCCCCCCCTGTAGTTTTTTTTACATAACTCAAAAAGTATTGGTCTGAGGCTGTTGAAATTTTCTGACTTTTCTTACATACACAAAGCCCTCCCTTTAGGCCTAAAACCGGGCTTTAATACTAACTGCCTGAGTCCTCAGGCACACTGCCTGAATGACTGCTTTTGCCTGTAACAAACTAAATCTTTGTTTTGACCCACTTTCGCTTATCAGATTTTGATAAAATTTAGCTTTTTGGAAAGCCTATGACATAAGGAAACGGATTGCACAAGTTTTGCAAAAAAAAAATTGCAAATTTTTTGCAAACAACCTGTCAAAGGAAATTTGCACATTTTTAGTTTTTCTTGATTAAAAATCAGGTTATTTAAAATTTTGCAAATTTTTTTGCATATTTGAAATGGCATGGTCAAGGGCTTTTCAAAAATTTATAATTTTTCATTTTTTGGACAAATTTTTTTTTCCAAACATTTTTACTATAAAACTGGATTTTGCGATAAAAAATTCAATTTTCGCAAATTTGCAATTTTTTTTGCAGATTCTAAAAGTAGAGCACAAGAGCTTTCTAATGATGTATCATTTGTCATATTTGGACATAAAACATGGGATTTAGAGGGGGGGGGGGGTCAAATTGACCCCCCGCCCAGCGTATCCTGGTTTTCAAGTACCCCAGCAGGGATAGGGTTAATGTATTCCTTACCTCGCATATGAGCATACATAGTCTTTTTAGAAGAGAATGTCTTGTCACAGGATTTACATTTCAAATTTAAACCTAAAATTTGAGTTTATAATGCTTATTCCAAAAAATGTATTTTTCGTATTGCGTAATGTATATATTTAAGCTAGCTCAATTCCCCAGCGTTGCCCGTCGCAATTATTTTGAAAAAAATTATTTTTATAAAAAAATATATTGAATAAGCCCATGTTATTCGCCGGGCACCCATGGGTTCCTTCAAAAATTGTAACCCATTAGGTCTAGCAGTTTCCCCAGGTATAGCTAACGTATAAATATATCTACATGAGTGTACATATATACTAATACAGGGTGTCCTAATGAACATTTGAATCAAGTGACGATTTTGATATTGGCTTTGTAAGCGTTTAGCAGACGTAGCTTTATTATGACAATTACAATGTACATACGTCTGATATTACTTATTTATAACTACTTTTACTTTAACCAAAGGTTCCCAAGCTCAAAGTTGGTAGAGGGAACCCGTGGTTAAGAAAAATTTGTAACTTGGCGAAAAAATTATTTTACACATTTTTATCGTCAATTGAGATGAAAATGCGCGAATTTAAAACGAAAACTTCACAGAGCGTTTTCAAATTTTACTTAATTGTCCCAAGGGACGTTAAATCACTAAACGTTCTTCTGTTGATAGAGTTATGGTAGGTAATAATATGTATAATACAGATAACCTTTCCATTTAATTTAATTATTATCTTGAAAACCCAGCTGTATTACAGTCAACCCACCATTTTTCATATTGTAGTCAACCCACCGAACTATCTTAAACCAAACAGCAAAGAACATTCCCATGGTTCAAACTGTCAAGGGGTTCAGGATTTATTGTAAAACCTATGATTTGACTCCATTTCTGAACATAACTTAGAAATCCTCTAAGATTAAATCTACAGAACCCCCCCCCCCCTCTTCTGGAAGTAATAGCTGTAAGGATAAACGTGGAACTTTGCAGTACACAAGTGTAAATTTAAATATGTGTACAGTGGTTATAATTTGCTGTTTAATTATCTGAAAAGGTTTACAAAATCACCTAAAATCCAGATTTTGCAGTTATGTCCGACATACAAACAAATAAACAGACAAACAGACAGAGATTATACTTTTATTTATAAATATATATATATACATATTACTTATGTTCATGAAAAGTAAGTTAACGTACCTGTATCAATTATATCATGAGTAAGACGAGAATGAGTTTTAAGATCTCTTTTAGATAAAAATCCAAGTGTACAATCCTAAAAATATGATGAAGGTGACAATAAGTACGTTTCGGTGATTAGAAGTCCTCCTAACCCTTAAACCAACTATTGCAAGTTTGTCATTTATTAGTCACTAGTTGAAGTTACTGGCGTTGCCCGTGGATAAAAAAATCGAATCTTTTTAAGCCTATGTTACTCTTGAGATACCCATGGGTTTCCTCAAGAAATGTCCGCCAATTTGAATATATAAATCTATATAATAAAGCTCTTCACTCATATATATTTGTGTAGATGTTAGCTTAAGCTGGCCAAACAGCTAGACCGAATGGGTTAAATTTTTTTGAGGAAACCTATAGGCTAAAAATAATCGATTTTTTTTCTAAAAAATCAAATATTTTTTAAAAACTTTAGAAATGTAACACTTGCTCATTACTATTAATATTATAATGTGTATCTATTTAGACAGTTTTCTGCTTTATCTGTTATAGATAAATAACGACAGTTTTCTGCTTGTATCTGTTATAGATAATAACGACAGTTTTCAGCTTGTATCTGCTGTAGATAAATAACGACAGTTTTCTGCTTGTATCTGTTATAGATAAATGACGACCGTTTTCTGCTTTAACTGTTATAGATAAATAACGACCGTTTTCTACTTTTTCTATTGTAGATAAATAATAACCGTTTTTTTTCTTTTATTTTCATGGACAAAGAACGACCGTTTTCTGTTAGTAGCTGCTGTAGATAAAAAGAGCTATTCCTAAAATCCAGCGACCAAAGCTAGAACATTTTTGAATAGAAAAACAAAGAAATTTCCATTATCGTTTTAAAGCTTGTAATGCTCTTAGATAAAAGAATATTAAAAAGAAGTGCGTGTACAATTCTCTTTGTGTATCAAGAATAAAATAAATGCCATTTCTTGCGATTTACTATTGCAAGTAAAACGATGATTTATATAATGATGCTTAATATAAAATAAAAAGTATCTTCTTTTCTGCCATCTTCTAAATTATCCTATTGAGAGTAATGAGGGAGATTATGAAGAAAAAATAGTAATTTCCTTGCTGTTGAATGTCATAGCACACATATCACATTTATAGGCAAACGTCTGCATTTTGAAAATTTAAACGTTAGCACAATTTAAAAAAAGTAAATGTACTTCTTTCTTAATGTATCATGTTACAGAACGTGGGTATTCTATGATAGCCAAACAAATTATTCTTGTATAAAAGTTACAGAAATAGCACCCCACACGGGCAGTCATACTACATTTGAATTTCCGAGCCGGGTCAACCTTTCCGGTCCCAGTTTGTACTGTATCGCCCGGACATTGGGTAAATAAAGCAGACACTCAATAGGACTAGCTGGTGCAACAAGGTTGACGCGGTCAGACTTTAGGTTGAATTTACTTTTACTAAAGAGTCAGAGGTGCGTTCACAATACATTATCCATTTTCCCTGTTAAAATCTACTTGTAATTTAGATCAAAAGTATTAAAATGTCCGCTAATTGCTCGAAGCCAGTTAATGATAGGTGCACTAGTTAACTTCTGGTCCACTACCTATATGTGCGTTGCTTGACCAATAATCTATAAAATGGCTGCTAGATGCGATACGCGCAAGTTGACTTAAAACTAAAAAATTGCCCACAACCAGTTGCACTAGGTAACTTAGGTTTTAATTCATTAATTGAGCTATAAAAGGCCCCTAAAGGTGCACGTTTTAAATTTTCCTGAAAGTGTTGAACTAAAATATGATCGACTGCTAAACCAATGGTTTCTTGGTATTGATCCTCAGGATCACTTTTTCCAGCAGAAAATCTGAAAGAATACAAATTAAATTAGAGTTTGAAGAAGCTGTTGACCTAATTTCAAGTGACATTAGAGTGGCATGTCCGATTTACAACGGTATCCTTAAAACCTCTATTGAGGAAGATAATAATTGCAGCAAATCATTTTAAAAAAGAAATTACTATTAAAAATATTAATTTTTAACTATGAATAAATAATGAAATAAATAAAAAAAATGTACGGACGCAGAATTTCATTTTGGAATATTTTTTCTTAAGATGATTTTCTTCTTAGACATCATCATTATGTACATTGAAATCATGGAAGCGAGGCTTATTAACACATAAAAACTTTATGAATACCTCATTTTACAGTGTAAACAGACTGCTCTAGCTTCTTGCTCAGTATCACCTAACATCACAAAATGTTCTTTCCTAACCGGCCTGTGCCCTAGACTTCGGCAGATATCAAAAAATCGTTTTTCATCAACTGTCATTCTATCCCGGCGTTCCTGAAAAATTTGTAAATAATTTTTTGAAAATACAGAACTATAGATAAGTATTAGAATTCAGGACTTGTTCATGTCCTATAGATGATAAATACACTGAAGAACTATAGATAAGTATTAGAATTCAGAATTTGTTCATGTCCTATAGATGATAAATACACTGAATAACTATAGAATATAGATAAGTATTTAAATTCAGAACTTGTTCATGTCCTATAGATGATAAATACACTGCAGAACTATAGATAAGTATTAAAATTTCGGACTTGTTCATGTCCTATAGATGATAAATACACTACAGAACTATAGATAAGTATTTATATTTAGGACTTGTTCATGTCCTACAGATGATAAATACACTACAGAACTATGGATAAGTATTTATATTTAGGACTTGTTCATG